AGACAGAGACAGGTCAGAGACAGGTCAGAGACAGAGACAAATCAGAGACAGAGACAGGTCAGAGACAGGTCAGAGACAGAGACAAATCAGAGACAGAGACAAGTCAGAGACAGGTCATAGACAAGTCAGAGACAGGTCAGAGACAGGACAGAGACACGACAGAGACATGTCAAAGACAGGTCAGAGAGACTTCCAGTGTCATGGCGATTAATATGGCAGCATAGAAAAGAGGTCCTGCATCGCTAGATATAAAAGCCCCCCTAATCCAAAGTATCAACGTGCTAAAAGTTTATTTTTCTCAACAAGAATGAGTGTGGATAAAAATAAGAGGGTTGGAGTTCAGCCTCGGAGCTCAGAAATGCGACACGAAAGCAAAGCTTGCGGAACACACCCGTCGTGGAAGAAGAGAAGATGGCGGATGAGGCCTTGCCTGCTACAATTAGCTCACTGAGAACGGTGGTGGGTGAAGTAATGGCAGAGGGCATGCGGGACCTCAAATCAGAAATGAAGAAGGAGTTAGCACAAGTGAGAATGAGCTTAAAGGAGGAAATTAAAGTCCTACTGAGAGAACTGACAACCGAAATAAATCAACAGGTTAGTGCCGTTATCAACAAGACCGAGGAGATGGATGAGCGTCTTGGAGAAATGGAAAAGAGCATGGCAGAGAAAGAGAGGTGGGACATTGGAGTGAGAGATGCTATCGGCCAGCTGCTAAATGACCAGAAATTACTTCCGGAAAAGATCACGGATTGGGAAGGACGCTCACGCCGGAACAATTTACGGGTATATGGCATCCCTTGAAATGCGGAAGGTACTTCAATGCAGAGGTACGTAGAAAACATGCTTCAAACTGAACTCGGTGACAGTTTGGACTTAGGCAGTGAGAAGAATCTGGGGATGGAAAGAGCCCACAGAGCGCTGGGTGCGCAGCCTCTGCCTGGTGCCCCACCTCGATCCACGGTGGTACGCTTCCTAAAATACAACGTTAAAGAGCAAATCCTCCATGCGGCATGGAAGAAGAAGCCTATATAAATACAAGAAAAACACATATTCTTCGACCACGACTGTGCTGAAATCATACAGCTGAAGAGGAGAGAGTATGCYCCGGTTAAGAAAGTGCTCAAAGAGAACGCTATCCGGTTCCAAACCCCGCTAGCCAAAATGCGTGTGCACTTTGACTCCGGCGTGATCATCTACAACAGTGCGGAGGAGGCTGCGCTGGACCTGAGAAGACGTGATTCGCTGTGGGACCGGTGTCTGCAAACAGATCCAAAGCCATCACAGCGGAGACCATCAACAATCTTCTGCCAACGGATATAGTGGGATCACGACGCGCTGGGAGCGCACCTGGCCTGCGAGAGAGCGCACGGGAAAAGCTAAAGGCGTTTCAGCGGCCAGGCAGAGAGGACGGCGCTATGGATGTATAATCTTCATCAACTCCACCGAAGACACATTTGAGCACCTCACAGCGAGAGCTTCTGGTCAGCTGGCTGGTACCATTCGGAGCGTCAAGGGGTGGCCGTCTCTGGACATGAGTATGGTAAGGGCTGTGACTCCCCTTCATAACAGGAGTGATGAAGATCCGATGCAGGTGACTCTTAAATTAACCTTTTTAGTTTCCTTTCTTCAAGTAGGCAACTAAGCAGGGGCCCCACTAGTGGCAGTTTCCCCTGCTTTAAGAGGAATAAAGGTCCTCTTATTGGAAGACCTGTTCATTGTTTTGTCAAGTTCTGTTATGTATTTCTGTTTTTTGTGTGTTCTGAGGGTTAGGAGTGTTGTTATGCAGGTAGAAAAAAACATGTTTGAGTTTAAATGATATGCAGTACTATAATATACAGACTTTGAATGTGAATGGTATAAAAAAATCCTATCAAAAGAAGCAAGATCATTTCAAAGTTTAAACGAGAGCAGGTTGGCATTGGGTTCTTAAAGGAAACACATTTGTCGAATGAAGAACATGAGAAAATAAAAAAAATGGGTTACAGAAAAACATATTGTGCTTCTCAGATCTGGGAAAAAGAGGGGTAGCCATTCTTATACCAAATAGTATAAGGTTTGATTTTATTGCAGAACATAAAGATAAAGAAGGTAGAYATGTGTTGTTAAAGGGGAAGCTGGAACAGGAAGAGGTCACCCTATGTAATATCTATGCCCCCCTGGTAGTAGCATTGACTTCTTTAAGGAGGTATTTAGTCTTGTGGCTGCAGAAGCAAGCGGCACTTGTATATTTGCAGGTGATTTTAATTTACTCCTAAACCCAAAAATGGATACGACCAGCAGGGACCGAGGAAGGAATCGTGTAGAAAAGCAATTCAAGAAAATAATCCAAGAATTGGGACTCACAGATATATGGAGATCTTTCCATAAATATGACCGTGAATTTACGTTTTACTCAACTAGACATAACGTATTTACCAGATTTGATTATTTTTTTATGTTCAATAAGGATCTTCACAGAGTGAAAGATTGTATAATTGGACAAAGAGACATCTCCGGTCACTCTGGTTTAACTATGAAAATTAACTTAACTAGAAGCCCTAAAAACACGCTATGGAGGCTTAACACAAGTTTATTAAATAGTACGGAATTCAAAACAGAAATGGCAGAAGAGCTTAAAACTTACTTAGAATTCAACGATAATGGAACAGTTAGTCCTACAATTCTGTGGGACGGGGCTAAAGCATATATTAGGGGTAAAATAATTGTAAAATGTGCTAATTTAAAGAAGATCAGAGCGAAAAAACTAACAGACTTACAAGAAAATTTAAAGATTGGAGCAGCTGCATTCACTTAACAAAAGCCCTTCCTTACTGGAACTAATGAGGCCGGTTAAGCAGGAGATTCACAAACTTTTAAGTGAGGAAATTGAAAAAAAACTTAAGTATATGAGACAAAGATATTATGAAGCAGGGCCTAAAGCTTCTAAGGTGCTTTCATGGAGGCTTAGGAAACAACAGGTGGAAAACACAATCTATAAAATTCGGAACCCAAGAACCAATAAGATAACTAGTAAACTTGAAGAAATTCAGAGTTCATTTGAAGGGTATTATGCAGCTCTGTACACACAGCCGGACAAAATGGATAATCAAACAATTCAAAAATTTCTAACTCTTTGGATCTTCCATCTATAGGAAAAAACAAAACAACAAGTTAGTGGCAGAAATATCAGCTGAGGAAGTTGACCGAGGGATTTCCAATGTTAAGACCAACAAATCACCGGGCTGTGGTGGGTTCCCTCCGGAGTGGTATAAGGCCATGAGGGAATCTGTTCTCCCACTACTGAAGGCCTCCTTTAACTATACCTTGGGAGGGGGCGCACTACCACCATCATGGCGAGAGGCVTTTATATCGGTCATACCAAAGGTGGGGAAAGATAAAACGGATCCTAGAGGGTACAGACCAATTAGTGTATTAAATATAGACTACAAATTATATGCTACAATATTAGCTAAGAGATTAAGTACCYTGATGCCTTTCCTGATAGATGAGGACCAAACAGGTTTCATTGGTAATAGACAAACACATGATAGTATAAGAAGGGCTGTTCATGTTATTGATCATATAACTAAAGAAAAATCAAGTGCAGTCCTTCTCAGCTTGATGCTGAGAAGGCACACGATACTGTAGGGTGGGAGTTTTTGTTTCAAGTAATGAAGACATTTGGGTTCTGTGACAGATTTATTCAATGTATAAAAAATGTGTTTTCCTCACCAAAAGCAAGAATTAAAATTAATGGAAGTCTCTTGAATCAAATAACATTACAACGAGGATGTAGGCAGGGATGTCCTTTAAGCCCACTACTCTTTAATGTTTTTATTGAAGCACTGGCTCAGGTTGTTAGAGAGGAGTCTGGGCTGAAGGGGGTGACTACAGGGAATGTGGAAAACAAAATATGCTTATATGCAGATGATGTTGTAGTAGTAATCTGGTATTCCATTGCTTATGAACATCCTGGAAACATATGGCAGACTCTCAGGTTACAAACTCAACATAAAAAACAAATTCTGACCCTTAATTTTGTTCCGTCAAAACAGTTAATAAATAGTTATCAATTTAATTGGCACCAATTAGAAAATAGAATATTTGGGCATTATACTAACAAAAAATTTGGTTCAATTATATGAGGTTAATTACAAACGAATAAATAAKAAAATATATGAGGACCTGGACAGGTGGAGCCTGCTTCCCCTTGACCTTAGCAGCAGAATCCAAATAAAGATAAATGTTTTATTTACAGCAGAGGTTCCAACAAAACAATTTAGGGAGTGGGATAAGCATTTTTCAAGGTTTATATGGAACAACAAAAGGCCAAGAGTAAGATACTCGACCCTGCAGCTGCCTGGGGATCGGGGGGGGGGGGGGTTGCCTAGTGAACTATTACCTGTCTGCACAGATTAGACCTCTGGTGTGCTGGTGTAATCCAGCCTATGAGGCTCAATGGAAGGACATAGAGCTTTCCTTGTTGGACGTCCCCATACAGTCTGTCCTGGGGTGCCTGGTTGGACTGCCCCAGGTATACCAATTACAAAATCTGTGTCTGAACCTCTCTTTGAAAAAGTGGGCAGAGGTAGTTAAAAAGTTCAACCTCCATAAACAGACAGGAATTTTGAGTTGGCCTGTGTCCCATCTGCGCTTCCTCCCAGGATCGATAGACCACAAATACAGATACAGAAGGTGGGCAAAACAGAGAATCACCACATTCTGTACTACCATTAAAAACAGAGAATCACCACATTCTGTACTACCATTAAAAACAGAGAATCACCACATTCTGTACTACCATTAAAAACAGAGAATCACCACATTCTGTACTATCATTAAAAACAGAGAATCACCACATTCTGTACTATCATTAAAAACAGAGAATCACCACATTCTGTACTATCATTAAAAACAGGGAACCACCACATTCTGTACTATCATTAAAAACAGGGAACCACCACATTCTGTAAAATCATTAAAAACAGGGAATCACCACATTCTGTACTACCATTAAAAACAGGGAATCACCACATTCTGTAAAATCATTAAAAACAGGGAATCACCACATTCTGTAAAATCATTAAAAACAGAGAATCACCACATTCTGTAAAATCATTAAAAACAGGGAATCACCACATTCTGTAAAATCATTAAAAACAGAGAATCACCACATTCTGTACTACCATTAAAAACAGGGAATCACCACATTCTGTAATATCATTAAAAACAGGGAGTTGGTCAAATTTGAGGATTTGTGCTGGATTTATGATGTGGACAGACAAGATTTCTACCGTTATCTACAGGTTCGAAGTTTCTTCAAGAAAGAAATCAAAACTTATGGCTCCGATGCAGAACCAGGAATAATACAAATATTTATGATTCATATGCTGGTAAAAATACAAGAGGCACTATTGGCAAACTTTATAGAAATTTAGCATCTATGAATAAGAAATCAGCTGACTATATCAGACAACGATGGGAAAAGAAGCAAATGTAATAATTTTACCTGAGGTCTGGCTGCAGGTTTGGAGCAATAATCTGTCCACCACAAATTCATTAACATGGTGTGATTTCAGCTGGAAGAATTTAATCTGATTTTTATTACAACAAAGCAGAAACTGAAGCTGGGTGACTCTCGTTCATCTTGCTGGAGGGAGTGTGGTGTGGTTCCTGCAGACTGCTTTCACATCTTTGGGACTGTCCACAACTGAAAACTTTCAGGAAGGATGTTAATAAAGTAATCTATGAAATTCTGGGTATAACTTTAGCTCTGTCATTTTCTGCTGTGCACCTTGGAATGATCCCTGAAGGACTCGATAATAAGAACACATTCATGTTGAAGATATTTCTGACTGCGAGCAAGAAGGCAATTACTAAATGTTGGCTCCAACCTAGACCCCTACTCTGGAGCTGCTTGTGAACATCAGAAACTGCATTTACAATATGGAAATACTGACATTTAAAATACGGCTCCAGAAGGAGAAAGGAGAGAGACTTTGGGAAAAATGGGATTATTTTATAAACAAAAATGTGTAACAGTTGTTTGTAACTATTCTACATCACTCAGACAGACTCCTGGGAGCCTTTGTCTGTATTTATTTGGTGTCATTTGATCCAGTGAAATGTCTGCGATGTAACGACCACCAGCATGTGTGGCTGCTACCTGTCCTAGCCCCATGTTCTGAGTGTATGTGTTGTTTTAAATAAAGACTAAAAATAAAGTTAAAAAAGACAGGTCAGAGACAGAGACAGGACAGAGACAAGTCAGAGACAGGTCCGAGAAAGGTCAGAGACAGGATAGAGACAAGTCAGAGACAGGACAGAGACAAGTCAGAGACAGGTCCGAGACAAGTCAGAGACAGGTCAAAGACAGGACAGAGACAGAGACAGG